AAGATCTATCAGTATTTCTTAGAAAATCAGTTTGCATAGGAGTATCATAAGGTTTGGCATTGTTTAAATTGCATTTATTTAAAAGTTCTATGATCTTATCTCTCTGAGTAAGTTTGAATCCCCTTCTAGTCTTATTAATTTGAACACCAAGATATTTGTTTACTTTGCCTAGGGATTTTAACGAGAAATGTTCATTTAGCTTAGTTACAAAAGTTTCTCTTCTCTCTTTATGTTTTCCTATGTATAAAATGTCATCCACATAAATCAATACAAATTCAATGTAATCATCACCCTTTTTGACAAAGAAACAGTTATCAGCAGTGGTAGCGTTGAAGTCCATGGTTTTAAGTACTTTTACTAAACAATCATACCATCGTTTACCAGATTGTTTTAACCCGTATAAACTCTTGTTTAACAACCAAATCTCATTTTTGTTTGTGTATTGACTGTGAGGTGCTCTTACGTATATTTCCTTATCTAGTTTTGCGTGTAGATACGCAGTCTGTATGTCATATTGAAATACATCAAGATTGAGTGCTGATGCTACCACTAGAGCTGTTTTGACACTCTCTGTTCTTACTGTGGGGGAATACGTGTCAGTATAGTCCTCCGGATATTTCTGTGCATAACCTTGTGCAACTAGTCTGGCTTTGTATAGAGTATTGCCTCCCTCTAAGTTCTTAATTTTATATATCCACCTGGTACCAATAATTGTTTTATCTTTAGGTGCAATTGCAGGTGTAAATACATTTAATCCTTGTAAACTTTCCATCTCCTTTTTCATCGCTAATTCCCATTTTTCTTTTTCTTCACGAGGGAGTTTTAACACTTCCTCATATGTATTAGGTGTTGTTGGCTCACCATCCATGTGCATTATATAATCCTTGTATTTATTTGGCATTTGATTTCTGGTGTTTCTAATAGTTTTTTCAGGTTTACTATCGTTATCATGCAAATATCTTGCTTCCTTTTTTGTTAGTGTGTCTGTCTTTATTTTGTGTTGGCTATTTGTCCAAGTTTTGGTTTTGTTTTTATATTTGTTGATATTTTGCTTTTCTATGGTCCCTTTCTCATGAGATTTTGTATCTTTGTATTTATTTGGAAATATTTCATTAAGATGTAATTTAGACCAGTTGGCCTGTTCATGGAACACAGCTGTTCTGGAGACTATAAATTTGTTATTATTATCAATGAATCTGTACCCTTTAGTGCCAGTCTCATATCCCATAAATCTGAGTCTTCTGGATACGTTTTCTCCCTTTCTTCTTAATTGCTTAGGTATGTGTACGTCTGCAGTGACTCCGAATATGTGCATGTGTGCTAATTTTGGTTTCCTATTATACATCACTTCATATGGTGTCTTATTTACAATGCTGGACCAGGTTCTATTTTGTGTGTAATTTGAATAATGTAAGGCTTCTGACCAGAATTGTTTGCTTAAGCCAGCATCTTCCAATGTGCATCTAATCATGGTTTGTAATGTTGAATTCTTCCTCTCTACAATCCCGTTCTGGAACGCAGAAAATGGACTAGATGTGTAATGTAACATTCCTTTGTCTTTTAACCATTGGGAGAATTCTTTAGACATGAATTCACATCCCCTATCTGTCATGATTTGTTTTATTTTGATATTGTGTTGTGTTTCTATGCGTTTGTAAAATTCTTTAAATTTTTGAAAGGTTTCATCTTTGTGTTTTAATGTATAAACAAATCCATAGCGGTTATAATCGTCTACTATTGTCAAGAAGTAACGTTTTCTATAAGTGATTGATGGAGTTAATGGACCAACTAAGTCCATGTGTACTAAATCAAAAATTTTGTTAGTTGATCTAGTAGATTTTCTTGGCCTGGGACTAGTTTTTAGTTTTGTAGATTTACATACTGAGCATTCCAAATAGTTTTCACAATTTTTTATTTTAACACCTTCTGCGTGTTCAGTCATTTTTTGTACTACAGGAAAACTGGCATGTCCTAACTTCCTATGTAAGATGTGAGCACACTCATCATGAATTGGCTTACCTATTTTTGGTTTTTTTTCATTGTGTGCATCTATGTGATCATGAGATATTTTACATTCATCATTATCACTGTTGCTAATATTTTCATCATCTACTTCAATACAATGTCCCATATTTGAATCAATGTTATGCAGCCATTTTTCCTTTGTTATCAGATAAGGTAGGCCTCCTTTAATCATCACAGTGCCTATATTTATTTTATTCTTCTCTAAAGTCGCTTTTCCTTTTGAAAAAACAATGTTAATGTCAGAATCTCTACTTAGTTTTATGGCACTTAGTATGTTATGAGGTATTTCAGGTATTAGCAATACCCCCTCTATTTTTCCTAGACCAGGCAGGGTTACATTCCCTCTACCTAATACTTGAACCTTTTCTTGGTTAGCTACCTTTATTACAAATTTATCTTCTGTAAATGAAGACAATATATTTTTGTTATTAGTGGTGTGATTAGTTGCTCCAGAATCAATAAGCCAATTATTGTTCTCATTTTGCTGTATGTTAGTGTTGTCTTGTTTATTTAACCCATTCAGTGAACCAGATTTTCTATCCTTTGAATTATCTCTGCCCCCTCTATTCTCTTTGTAATTTGGTGGGCTTCTATATCTATGTCTATCCATGGAAGACTGTCTATAATTGTATTTGTTTCTATATTCTGACCTATGTCTTTCCTTTGAAATCTTGGGGCAATCTCTTCTATTGTGTTCCCTGGATCCACAATTGTGACATTTAAATGTTTCATTATATTTTTCTTGGAAAGCTACTTTCCTATATGGTTTGTGTTCTGTGTGATTGCTAGAACGATTTCTTCTTGAATTGTCTTCTGCTATCAATTTATTGGATAGACTTTCTATGGATAAGTATCCTAGATTGATTGTGTCTAAATGTGACATAAAATTGTCCCATGATGGATCAAGTGAGTTGATAATAACACTTTTCATTGTTTGGTCTGAAATCACCTCCCCCCCTCAAATGCAGCTCAGCTCTTATTTTGTTTAAAGATATTAAATGCTCACTTATGGAAACCCCTGGTTTTATCCTAGATGAAAAGAAATCTTTAGACATCCTTGTGGTGGTAGCTACACTATCACTGTGAAACAAATTAAACATGCATTGAATAATTTCTGAAACAGTCAGATTTGGCTTAATGCTGTGATACATTGCAGGGGACACACTAGATATTATTAGGAAAAATGCTCTATGGTGTAAACAATCTATTTTTAGAGTCCAAGGTCTTTTTGGGGGACTAGTGATAAAAAATAGTAAGCTTTCCTTCATAAAGACAACCTGGAGCTGTTGATACCATTCTTGCAAGTTAATGCCATCAACCCTTAGCTTCGGGAAGTCACTGGGTAAATTTCCGACATTATTGGGTCCATTACTTACAACCTGAGGTAGTCCGTGGTCTCGTAAATGTAGAAAATTGCAAAACGGCGTGGGGATGCTCGCAACGAGTCTGCGCGGTCTTCTCGTCAGTTCATGTCTTCCCGGGCCGTCTGCGTAGTCTTGCGCATGCGCGTTGTCCATTTCTTCTTTGGAGTCGTCGTGGAAGGTTCTCCCCATTGCGGCTTGCTCGTTCTGCTCTTCCTCGGACGAATCGGTCTCTGGTTCGATTTTGGGAGTCCTGACGACGGCGGCTGTTCTTCCTCTTCTTTTGAGGGCGTTGGTGCTTGCTTCGGTCTGTGGCGTAGGGCGGTATCGGCAGGGCTCTCTGGGTTCGGGCGTCAGCGCTCTCGTAGTCAGGATGGGAGCGGGCAGGTCTTGAGGCATTGGCTTGCTCGCTTGCTTCTTCGTTAGCTTTTTAGTAATTTTTAGTTTTGGCCCAAATGCGGCAAAAAGCGTTTTCATTGCCGATTTTATTTGGTAGTTTGTTGAATCACCTTCACTTTCTGATTCTGATTCTTCTGAGGTGTTTGAATCTTCTTTTTCATTTTCGTTGTCTGGTAATGTTTTTCGCGCCAGAAATTTTGAATTGAGCTTTTTGATTGGCTCTGCTTCGCTCATCTTGGAGGCCTGTTGAAACCAAGATGGCTGCCATTCAAAATTTCGCGCGGGATCACCGTTTTTCTTCCTCGCAATGATTTTCTCTGCAGTCATATCACTCATTATTTTTGGGTCTTTAGACTTTTCATTAGTGATGTTTTTCTCTCTCGCTGCTCCGCTGTTCTTCAGCATATCTTGGAGGTTCGCGATGAGGCTTTCATCATTCTTCTGGCTCTTTAATAATTTTAATATCTCTGACCTGAGTTCGTTATTCTCTATCTCGATTTCCTCCTGGTCATCATTTTCATCTATTATTTCTTCGTCTTCAGTGGTGTATTCTTCGGATTCTCTCGAAATTGCGTTTGTGGATTCGTTGATTATTTCTTGTTCTGGTTCCATTTCTTTGCTGTAGGCCCTGGTGTTGGGCCTATCTTTCTTAGACATTTTTAAGTTTTTATTGAGTCAATTAACCATCCTCTGCTACCAGCTTGTTGCAATATTTTCAGGATCAGACTCAATAAGATTAGTAAGAGTTAAAGGTTTAAATATATTTCCTTTTATTTACAATAGGCATTCTATATTCACTGAATATTCACAGATAGAAGCAAGGAAAAGGGTGCATGTAGCTCCTTATATATACAATGGGTGGAGCTATATGTGGGAGTGGTAAATTATGAATACATTAAGAAGTGGAGAATAAGTTAACCCCTGATACCCCGTTCATATACTATTTACACATTAGAGAATAAGGCATTTACATCTGACATGTTTGATACCAAGTTCTGCATTTTATATGAAAACTGAACGAAATGGATGAAAGCATTTTCTCGCTCCGTCTTTTCCTCCAAAATGGTCTTCGCCCCTCGTTCGCCTGCGACCTTCAGGCACGCCAAGGCCACCCTAGCCGGAATGCCCCATTCTGGATGTATCAACCATCACGGAGCGTCAGCGTCCTCCGAGCCGGACCGCAGGGCCACGCCCTCTCTCCTCCTCCGTCAACTTCCCTCCCCCAAGACTGCCAGGAGGCCGCCACGTCACCGTGGACGACGGGAAATGGGCTGTGGGAGAGCCGCTCGCCATTTAGGCAAGCGCGCCGGGCGGAAGTGCGGTGATGGCGGAGCTCTATGTTAAGCCCGGTGAGCTGCGTGGCGGAGAAAACGTGGTGCTTTTTTCGCGAGGCTGGCGGCTGATCGTCTGTTTCTTTTGCAGGGAACCAGCAGCGCGGCTGGAATGACCCCCCGGAATTCTCCTATGGGCTACAGCAGCGTCCGGCTCTTTCCAGCGGCTTGACCCAGCGGGGTCACTTCCGGAGAAGAGTGGCGGCGGCAAGTGAAGGAAAGGAGCCCGAAACGGTGCCGCACCCCCCAATTGCCTCTAGCCCAGGTTGGAGACGGTTTGAAAATCTGTAAAAATACTGCGCTATAATAGTATTTTATTTTATTTTTAGGAGTGTGCATCGCTTTTTGTGCCTGGAGAGAGCAGATTACTTTTCCCATTCTCTCTTATTTTGTTCTGATTCTTGGTTTCGGTCTGCTAGATCATGCTGGAAACAACTCTGCGACTTCGTGAACACATGTAGCTTTTTTGGCAGCAGTACAGATCTCCCAGTGCCTCTTTCGAGATTATTTTCTTATTTCCTAATTTAGAGGTTTCCATTCCAATGTTTTTATTTACGTGCAGTTCCCAAGAATGGCCAAAATTGGGGTAAATGTATTCGATTCTAAGGGGTTAGTATTGCCAAAGCAGCTATGCTTAATTTATCTGCCATCTTTTTAATTTAAGGCCCATTTTTTCTCTCCATGCACTAAAGTGGATTAATGCTGTACACATCTTTCTTTTAACACAATCTGTGTCTACTCTCACAGTTGGATTGCTTGTCCCACAGTCTCTGAACCTGCATCCTCCTGGACCACCAACCTCTTTTCAGAGAGCAGATGCCACAACACCATCTGTTGTAGAGACTGACAAGGAATATGAGATAGAGGGTGTGCTTTCTTCCTTGCATGAGGCTCTGAACAACTGTAGGAGCTTTGTGCAGGTGAGAGCGCTACCAGCTTTTCGAGGATTTTACTGTAGAATGAAGTTGTTTGTGTCTCATCATCATGTCTTACTTACTGTAACACTAAGATGGCTCTAACTGTTTTTAAGGCAGATGACCTCATGCCATCTCCGTTTCAGTCCCTGCCATTGGAGAGCTAACCTAAAGTTGTCTGTAGTTGTTTTCCTATTAAAATAATGTTTTCCTTCTTTTTGTAACTCAAAGTTTGCAATATCGATGATGATGTTTCATCTTTAAAAAGGATTATTGCAATTAAGGCAAAACCAAAGTTCATTTATATGATCTTAGAGGAGGGTTATATTGGAATATCCAATAGAGTGGCGCAGTGGTGGCGCAGTGGTTAGAGTGCAGTACTGCAGGCTACTTCTGCTGATCGCTGGCTGCCAGCAGTTTGGCAGATCTAAGGCTCAAGGTTGACTCAGCCTTCCATCCTTCTGAGGTGGGTAAAATGAGGACCCAGATTGTTGGGGGCAATATGCTGACTCTAAACTGCTTAGAGATGGCTGTAAAGCACTATGAAGCAGTATATAAATGTAAGTGCTATTGCTATTGCTATCAGTCTTCCAGAAAATTAGTATTTGTAGCTCAATAGAGAGCCTTTTCTATCTATTGTTATATAAAAAGTAATCTATTTTTTTAAAAAGTTCCACAACATATTTACAAAATTCTAAAGAAACCCACATCTCAAAACTTGTGACAGCTGGTTTAAAATGTGGCATGCAACATGAATTTTTTTGTGTGTGATCTTTACAATGTTTTAATTCTATTCTTGTCATAAAGTCTCTATAGGTAAGCTTTAGGCACTGGCTGTACATCAAGAGGCTGCAGTGGGATTAGCTGAGAGGGTAAAAATGTATGTAAGCAAATGATTCCAGAGTTGTTGATTTGGTCGGATCATAGCATTATTGAATGCTTTGCTTTTCCTGCATTTTAGGAAAGGACCATGAGAATGGCCTTCTGCTGTGGCTAGAATTTATAAATATGATCCCCAAAGTAGATACCTGATAAGAATTTGCTTCTGTTTTCAGAAACAGGTTTGTGATGATATCCATAAACGCTTGGTAATTCTGCAGGAAATGTGGACACAAGGCAAATTATCTTCCCCTGTAAGAAAAAGGATGGGAATTCTGACAGAAGGTAAGGAATATACCTATGGCCTGCTATACCACAGTAGTGGTTTCTTTTTGTAATCTTCAGCCTCAGCTGTGTATTGTGCTAGAGGTAGCAGAAATACTGCTTTGATAGAACTGGCAAAATTCCATCGGAGGGAACTCTGCACATATTTAAACAAAAACAGTTTTCTTAGCAATGTGTGATGCTGCTAAAGGGTAGTTGACTAGGACTATTTTTCCTGTTTATTTTTAGCTATTGATTATTATGGAGGCAGAATCTATTTTATTATTCTGCCTCAGGTTCCTAATGAACCCTTTTGGGTTTTAGAATTTGGGAATGTCCCTCAAGCTCTTTGACAACTTTTCATTGTTTGGAATTGAAGGGCAACAGTAGCATTGGCTCAGATTGTACCACTGTGGCTTCAGAATGCCATTGGAGGAAATGAATATAAGTGAAGTTGGATAAGAGCCTTTAGTAACCCTTTCTGTGGCCAACAGAGCAGGGAAATGTCACTAGTTTTTCTACTCTTATTCGGTTTCCTCAATTACTGTTAAGAGATCCTGTTTTAGTTGACCCAATCCTTTTGGGGAAGAGAGTGGTCAGGAAACACCTGCAGGGCAGATATAAGAGCTCGAGGGCATCTGATGGGAAAAAGTCACTTAGGTCTGCCCTGAGCAGTGAAATTGACTGATCTTATCTCGTTATTTGGGAAGAGTTTGAGCCAATTGATCTTAAGGGTGGTCATAATCCTTAGGGTTCAGTTCATGTGTTTTAGATCCATATCCTTCCTGCCTAGTTAAGACCTAATGGGATAAAACATACAATTTGGCAATAGTGAGGAGTTAGTCCCACTCGCACTTAAGGAGGCAATGATATGTCTGCTTCTCAAAGAACCATTGCTGGACCCAATGATACTAGATAATTTTAATCTTGTCTCCAGTCTTCCCTTTTAGAGGAAGGTTTTTGAGTTGGTGGTGAGATTACAACTTCAGAGGGTCGCAGAGGAAAGGATTACTGTTTTTGCACAGAATCCTCCTATGTGCAAAGTATACCTGTTCTTAGACAGAGGTCCTATTGCAAATCACTTAGAAGCTGCAACTGCTCCAAAATGCAGTGGTGCAGTTAGTTATGTGTGGTACACTCATATAATATATTTCCTGAGCTGCATGGGCTTCCAGCATCTTCTGGGAGCAATTCAAGCTGTTGGCTATTACCTATAAAGCTGTTAGGACTGCTGGTCTCCAACCATTTTTTCACATCCCACAATATTTGACAAGGCAAGTGTATTCTGGGTCCCTAGTGTCATTTGATGGGACCCAGGAAATACCCCTTTTCTGTCATGGCACCTGTCCTCTGGAACAATGTATCCTCTGAGATTGGGATGGCATGATGGCCATTCATAAGATGCTGAAGACTTGGTTCTTCTCTAATGCAGTGAACCAAGCTGTTGCGTCAGCCGGTCATTGTTTATTTTTATTTATTTGATTATTTGATTTCTATACCGCCCTACTCCCGAAGGACTCAGGGCGGTGCACAGCCAAACAATAAAACACATACATACAAAATTTAAAAGTAGAATAAAATCAAATTAAATAATTTTGGCCCCGACAAATTTAAAACCCCAAACTTTTAAAACCAATTTAAAATTGAATGTATAAAATACTAAAAGATATTTAAAAATTAAAAATCTTTTATAAAAGAGGGAGAAAATTAGGCCAGGCCCGCCTGGTGAAATAGTAAGGTCTTTAAAGCGTGGCGGAAGGTGCGCAGATCCGGGATCCTCTGAATCTCTGGGGGGAGCTCGTTCCAGATAGTAGGTGCCCCCACAGAGAAGGCTCTCCCCCTGGGGGCCGCCAGTCGGCATTGTTTGGCTGACGGCACCCGGAGGAGCCCCTCTCTATGGGAGGGTACCGGCCGGTGGGAGGCTATTGGTGGTAGTAGGTGGTCCCGCAAGTACCCAGGTCCTAAGCCATGGAGCACTTTAAAGGTGGTAACCAAAACCTTGAAGTGCACCTGGAAGACCACCGGGAGCCAGTGCAGCTCGCGCAGGAGGGGTGTTACATGGGAACGCCATGTCGCTCCCATTACCACCCGTGCGGCCACACTCTGCGCCAGTTGGAGTCTCCGGGTGCTCCTCAAGGGGAGCCCCATGTAGAGAGCGTTGCAATAGTCCAGGCGGGAGGTGACAAGGGCATGAGTGACCGTGCGTAACGAGTCCCGATCCAGAAAGGGACGCAACTGGCGAATCAGGCAAACCTGATGAAAAATCCTCCAGGTCACGGCCGTCAAGTGCTCTTCTAAAGACAGCCGTGAATCCAGGAGGACGCCCAAGTTGCGAGCCCTCTCCGTGGGGGCCAATGATTCGCCCCCAATAGTCAGCGATGGCGTCAACTGACTATATCGGGACATCGGAAACCACAGCCACTCGGTCTTGGATGGGTTGAGCCTGAGCCTGTTCCTCCCCATCCAGATCCGTATGGCCTCCAGGCACCGGGACATCACTTCAAGGGCATCGTTGGGATGATCCGGGGTGGAGATGTACAGCTGGGTGTCGTCAGCGTACTGATGGTACTCCACCCCGAAACCATGGATGATCTCGCCCAGCGGCTTCACATAAATGTTGAACAGGAGAGGCGAGAGGACCGACCCTTGCGGCACCCCACATATGAGGGGCCTCGGGGTCGACCTCTGTCCCCCTGTCAACACAGACTGAGACCAGTCAGAGAGAAAGGAGGAGAACCACCGCAACACAGTGCCTCCCACCCGTAACTCTTCCAACCGGTGCAACATGATACCATGGTCGATCGTATCAAAAGCCGCTGAGAGATCAACCAGGACAGAGGAGCACCCCCTGTCCCGAGCCCTCCAGAGATCATCAACCAACGCGACCAATGCCGTTTCCGTGCTGTACCCGGGCCTGAAGCCCGACTGGAACGGATCCAGATACGTCGTTTCATCCAGGTGCTGGGGGAGCTGTTGCGCGACCACACTCTCAACAACCTTCGCCACGAAGCGAAGGTTGGAGACCGGACGATAATTTACCAACATTGCCGGGTCCAGGGAAGGCTTCTTGAGGAGAGGCCTCACCACCGCCTCTTTCAAGGCGGCGGGAAAGTCACCCTCACCCAGCGAAGCGTTTGGAGCCAGCCTCGTGTCACTTCCCGGGAAGCCAGTACTAATCAGGAAGGACACGGGTCCAATAAACATAATTGATGCAATTATGTGCCTTTGAGAAATTCCAAGTGTGATGTGTTGTTTTAAAATTGTTTTGGAATATTTATGGTTATATTTTATAGATTGAAAGCAACTGTATAAGATTTGGGATGCTTTCTTACTTTTTTTTCAGAGCTCAAGAGTCAGCATTGGGATGAAGCTGATGAGATTCATCGTTCGCTAATGGTGGACCATGTTGCTGAAGTATGCCAGTGGATGGTTGGAGTCAAAAGGCTTATTGCTGAAACAAAGAACTTGCCTGGAGGAGATCCACTGCAATAGAGCATGAGCAAGGAGTCAACCTGTTTGGATCTGAATGCTTATAAGATTTGCTGAGCCTAGGAACTGGCCAATATGAAAACGGACCCTGTCTGAAAGGCAATCTGGTCCAGGGAGATTTGACTTCTTAACCACTAGAGTAATAATTTTATTTCTTTTACAGCTATAATCAAAGTTGCATTTTCCAACTTGATCACATCATAATCAATGAACATTTTTTTGATTGAATTAAACACTTGTTTAAGAAGTGCAACTTTTTGAAGATGACAGGTTAAAAATAGCAATCTTGCAAATACTACTTTTAAATTGTATAATGAATCCTAAGTGCCATACTGGTGTTAAATCTAAACAGTTTCTTCATATAGCTACTGTAAAGTCTTCCTATTTATTTTTATTTTCTCAATAAGTGTGTTGTTCCATGTTTGCTTGCAGAATTCACTCCACCTTCTGTTCTCTAAAGTGTGCCTGTTGAAAAGAAAAAACAAAACAGAAAACAAAACCTGTTTTGTTATTTCCCTCCATGTAGATGTAGTACCATTAAGGACTACTCATTAAATACGGTTTGCCAGCCACTTACAAATCCATCTGGTGGTGATGTCTATCTCACTTTTTTCTAGCTTAACAAGAAGTAGGTTGTGATCTACTTTGTCAAATGCCTTGCTGATGTCTAAATATACTATGTCCATAGCATTTCGCTGATCTACTAATTTAGTCATTTTGTCAAAGAATGAAATAACACTGGTTTGGCATGATCTGTTTTTAACAAACTCATGCTGGCTTCTAGTTATAATTTTGTTTGTTTTTAGATGTTCACAGATTATTATTTTTTTTTTTCAGTTTCTTTCCATGTATTGATGTTAGGCTGAGTGGTCTGTAGTTTCCTGGATTTTTTTCCCCTCTTTTTTGAAGATGGGAACCACATCAACTCTTTTCCAGTCCTCTGGTAGTTCTCCAGCACTCCCAAGATTTTTTAAAGATATGATACAATGGTTCTGAGATAATATCTGCCAGCTCCTTCAGAACTCTGGGATCCATCATGTTCCAGTGATTTATATTCATCAAGGTGAGACAAGTGTTCTTTTGCCATTTTTTTGCTTATTTCAATTTTTATTTTTAGTCCAGTGATGGTGAACTTTTTGGCACTGCATACTGGGCACCACATGCCAAAAAGGGAGCACTTTGTCTGGGCCAAGACCAGGAATAGGAGTTGCCCAGGGGTGTGTGCGTGCTGGAGAATGTACTTGCAGTTTCTTCAGGTTTCTTCTTCTTTACTGCAGGCAAGTCTTCAGATTACTGCTGCGCATGCACCTATCAGCTGGTGAGCGCATGCCAGAAAATGTACTTCTGGTTTCCAGCGTACACATGCACGCCGGCTGGCAAGTCTTCAGGTTATTGGCATGCATGCGCATACACTGATCAGCTGGCCAGCTCACATGCTCATGCCAGAAAATGGGAGACCAGCTCTGACACAAGTAAAAGGCTAGCTGATTGTTGCACGCACATGCGCGCCAGTAACCCAGAAGAGGAACGGGCGCCGCCGCGCGTGCCAGGCAACATGGCTCCACATGTCACTTTGGGCATGCATGCCATAGGTTCGCCATCACGGTTCTAGTCTCTCTTTTACAGTTGTTTTTTGTAGGTTGGGATATAATTTCTTTTTGTGTGAAGACTGATGCAAAGAATGAGTTAAGCAGCTCTGTGTTTTGGCCTATCGGCCACTGGCCCCTCCAGCAGCCGAATCAGAGGAGACGGCGGCATGGGAGTTAGAGTCTGCATCAGGGCAACCCAAGAGCTCCGAGGGAGAAGAGGGAATGGAGCTGGCAAAGAGAGAGAGACAAAGGCGGAGCCTGGGCCATCCGTCAGCCCTCAGATGGAGAGTCAACAGTCCCCAGGTCTGGAGGTGGTTGATGAAGAGGAGGAATAGCTGGGTCCAGTGCCTGATGTGTGGCTGTGCAGAAGGCAGAGAAGAGGAGAGCAGTGGAAAGCCATGGGGCAATCCTGGGGAAGGAAGAGCCACTGCTGCTAGCTAAGATCCACCCTAGCTCTGGGGATAAAAGGCAGGGGGCGGAGATGAATAGATGTGGCAGACAACTATTCATCTTCTGGCAGGCCGGCCTTGTTACCCTGCGAGAGGAACTTTTTGCCAAGGCTGCCAGCAATCCTAATAAAGGAATCTTTTGAATTCACGTCAGAGGGTTTGTGGTGTTTTGGGAGCTGGGTCAGAACACTCTTTCTCTCTACTGCCTGTTATTTCCTTGCCATTTCTCTCTTTAGTAGACCAACTGTTTCCTTGACTTTTTTCTTGTTATTTATATATTGAAAGTAGCTTTTTTTATTATTATCTTTGACTTTTGTTGCAAGTCTTGTTCATTCTGAGCCTTTGCTTTCCTGACTTTGCCTTTGCAGATTCTGGCTCTCTGCTGATATTCTGACTTACAGTATTTTTCAGAATATAAGATGCTCCGCAGTATAAGATGCACCTACTTTTTTGGGGGAGGAAAACAGGAAAAAAAAATCTGGCTCTGCCTCCCATTTTGGCACGAAAAATATAAAATACATGGTTACTTTAGAAGACATATACTAAGGAATGCATTGCTACAAATTTGGATCAAGATTAAAAAACATTACACAAAAATACCAATTTGGATTTCACCTACAGAACCATTAAAACATCCAAATTTAACTGAGTGGGACAAGATAACAAGATATAGAGCAGGGATGAAATCTAAATTTTTTCCCTACCAGTTCTGTGGGCATGGCTTGGTGGGGGGGGGTGTCCTGTGACTGAGTGGGCATGGCCAACTCGGTGTCACTCACAGCCACGCCTAATCAGTCACAAGACTCCCACCAAGCCACGCCCACAGAACCCGGAAGGAAAACTTTTTAAATTTCTATTCTGCCACCCACTCGCCACCCACTCTCTTCGCTTTGGGTCGGGGGCCAGGGTCCAGAGATGTGCCATTCCTTGGGGCTCTGGAGCCGCCGCTTGCCTCAACCAGGTCGGGGAATGCATCATTCCCCGATACCAGCCTTGCCCCGGAGCCGCTGCCCGCTCTCTCATCGCCAAGTGGTGTGTCCTTACCTTTCTCCCCGGCTGGCTGTCAGGGAAGGCAAGCGCCTGAAAGTTACCGGAGTCGCTCACTCTCCTTGAATGTGCCACCACCATCGCCGCCCTGGTCCACGCGCTGGCTATGCAAGCGCACACCCAACCTGCCGTTGATGAGTGAATTAAATAAACGGTGTGCGCTTGCGCAGCTGGCGCATGGACCAGAGCGGCGATGGTGGCACATTCAAGTCAAAATCGAGGCAAGGGCAGACACCTGTCTGTGCAGGGTGCTAGGAGCCAAACCTGAAGATAACCCAACTTGAAGGAACCCCAGGACCTGCTCTTCTTTTTTTTTTTTTAATAAATAATTTTTATTAATATATTCTATACACCAATAAAATATACAATCCTGCCACCATGGTATAATGTGATTCAAGAAGGAGTGACTCCGGTAACTTTTGAGCGCTTGCCTTCCAGCTGCGGGAGAAAGATGAGCAGTAGGATATACCGCATGGCGAAGGGCGAGCAGGCAGTGGCTCCGTGGCAAGGCCTGAGTCGGGGAATGGTGCATTCCCTGACCTGGTTGAGGCAGGCAGCGAGCAGATGGCGGCTCCGGGGCTTCGGTGAATGGCACATCCCTGGGCCCTGGCCTCTGACCCAAGGCGAAGGGCGAGCAGGTGGTGGCTCCAGGGCAAGGCCGGAGTCTCTCTCTGGGCACGTCACTTCTGCCTGTTGGGCCACTTCCAGGAAGTAATGACTTCTGGGTGGGTGGGCAGAGCCTCCAGCTGCCATTGCTACCGGTTCTCCGAACTACCGGCCATCATCGCTACCGGATCAGCCGATCCGGTCCGATCCAGTAGCATTTCACCCCTGATATCGAGATATATTAAAAGAACAAGGAAATCTGAAAACCAAACAGGAATTGGAACAAGATCTAAATAGAGAAATCGATTGATGGACATATACGCAAATTCAGTCGAAATATAAAGAAGACACAAAATTAAATGCGATATACACTGAACAAAATGAATTGGACAAAATTATGCAAGGGACAGAGGAGAAATTAATCAGTAGAACATGCAAATTTTTGCTGTGATATAAAATGGAAGAAGAAATAGTTAAGGATACAATGATTAAATGGGCAAAAAACTTTAACCACATAATAGAATTGGAGAAATGGGAAAAAATGTGGCAAATAAATACAAAACTAACAATGTCCACGGCATACAAGGAAAACCAGTTGAAGATGTTTAGTAGATGGCATCTACCCCCAGCTAGACTTGCAAAGATGTTTCCAAATAAATCTTCAGTGTGTTGGAAATGTAAGAGCTATGGAACATACTACCACCTCTGGTGGACATGTCCAGCTGCAAAGAAGTTCTGGGCTAAAATCAAAGAATGGCTAGAGAAAATGGACGTTGTCTTACCTGAACGTCCCTTCTGCGTAGTAGAGGGTCCAGCAGTCATTACAGGGTTAACTTGGAGTTCCGGTGATGACTGAGTCTGCAATTTGTGAAGCTCCTCCCACATCTACTGGCTTCCCAGATTTCTGATGAGGGAGATTCTGCAGACCGAATAGCTGAGCTGGGAAACCACAACAAAGAACAGAAAGAAATCCCACCACCACTACGAAACACGAAGAAGAAGAAGGACTGGATAGGGTGGGGATGACTGCTGGACCCTCTGCTACGCAGAAGGGACGTTCAGGTAAGACAACGTCCATTCTACTATAGCGAGGGTCCAGCAGTCATTACAGGGACATGCCAAAGCAGAACCTCTATTGGGGGGGAACTACCGGTCTGAAAGAGAATCCCCTTGAAGCACCTGCTGCAAAACTCGGCAGCCGAAGGCCGCCTCCACAGAAGTGTATACATCCAACTTATAGTGATGAATAAATGGAGAAAGGGAAGACCATGTGGCTGCCAGGCAAATATCCTCCAGGGATGCCTGAGTGGCCCAGGCCGCGGATGTGGCAGCACTACAAGTGGAATGAGCAGTGATCCGGGAAGGCACTGGCAATGCCTGAGCCTCGTAAGCAGTGGTAATAGGGCCCTAAGCCACCGACCCAGGATGGGAGAGGAAACCCTCAGACCCATAGAGGAAGGTAGGAAAGAAACGAAGAGACTCTCTGAACGCCTGAACGAAGAAGTCCTCCTAAGGTAAATCTTGAGGGCTCTACGAATGTCCAGAGTGTGCCAGGTCCGTTCCCTATGATGAGAAGGTGAGGGACAGAAGTTGGGAAGAATGAGTTCCGAAGCTCTATGGAATGGGGAATTAACCTTAGGGAAGAAGGAAGGATCTAATCGGAGAACCACTCGGTACAAATGGAAGATGCAAAGGTCCGAACGAGAAGAGACAGCTGCCAATTCAGAGATCCTGCGAGCCGAGGTTATGGCAACCAGGAAAACCACCTTATAAGAAAGAAACCGTAAACCCACCCACCTCAAGGGCTCAAAGGGAGGACGAGTGAGGGCAGAAAGAACTTTGGGGAGATCCCAGGTAGGGTATCTGTGTAAAGTAGGAGGGCGAAGGTTAGAG